CAAAAACAACAACAACAACAAATTAGGTCACAGCCCTAATCTAGTGAAAGAGGGCTGGTGTTTGGCCTGTAACATCTTTTATCTCATCAACAACAACAACAACAAAATCATTGCTTTTGAGAATCTGACGCTCTAGTAAGTGTTCAGAGGCTGGAAACTGCATGGAAGGAGGTTGCCCATCTTTCTGCAAGAATCATTTTGGCTTAGCAGTGCAACTCCCCACACATTATAACACCAGAGTGCCTCCACTTTTTTACAGGGGAGAGCACAAATACAGTCTCCCACTACCACAAATTATGCAGTCAAGTTTCCCACATTTGGGGAATTCACAGGGGTCAGCATACCAGGAGTGCAGTGGATAAGCCTTGCCCTGGGAAAAACCATCTTCATGATCACGGTATCTCCCCTGCCAGGTAAGTATTAGAGCTCCCTTTCATCTCACAAGAAAGAGATAAAAAAGAGAGAGAGGAGCAGAGATGGGACCTCTGTACCATCAACAAAGACCAAGAGTAGAGCGCATCCTTTGAATTCAGGTCCCTGCAGTGGAAGGTTCCTTGACACAGGAGGAGGCCAGGACATGTGGAGGTCTCCAACAAATGCTAGACCTACAGATGCTAAAGGAGACCGAGACTTTACTGTGGAAGTGACAATGAAAGCCTTTTTCAGAGTGGGAACTTGAATTTGAACTCGAAGATTCCAGAACTGTGAGAGAAACTGTTCGTTAAAACCATCCACTTGTCGTATTGCTTAAGGCAGCACTAGAGAACTAAGACAGGCTGCCAGAATTGAGCAAGTGAGATTACTTCACTCTAATGAACAAGCTCTTTCCAACACTATCTCAACTCTTCTAGAAGACAAAAGTTAAAGTAACACTGATATGAACCAAAACCAAGGCAGAGACAGTACACTGGAACAACTATGGATCAATCTCAATACTGATTAGAGAAGAAAAAAATTAGGATAAGAGGATTTATGAAGCTAAGCTAAAACTATTAAAACACCCTATTTCTCCTAAAACAATGTATGAATTCAATAAAATCAACATAATAAATTTTTTTGTTCTAAAGGTTTGAGAAACAGTTTAAAGCTAAAATAATAGCTTGTCCACCCTGGCTGCTATGAAAAATCACAGAGGCACTAGAAAGTATAGCTATCCCTTCAACAAGTAGTAGCAAGAGAGTCTACTTGCTGAGCAGCTAGAAATCCAGGTAGAGCTTTTAACTCTCTAAAACTTAACCACCAATAGTCTACTGCTGACTAGAAGTCTCAGCTCACTTACTTGGTACATTCTCTGTATTATATACTGCTGAACTTACATAAAAATTGCATTTTTTCCATAGAAGATAAAAAGTCCAAGGTTTTTGTGCCTGCTGGTGTAGCTGCAGCAACAGCGTCATAAGGCTCCTTTTCTTGTTTTACCATGGCCCATCCCTACACGGGATTAACGTATCTTAAATGGAAAATGCAGCTCAGACTTTGATGTGTGGTACCTGTGCAGGAACTGGACTTTCTCCTGTACTGTCATGAGCTCCCTGTTCTTAGGGTGCACTTATAGCATCACTGGTGGCACTTGGTGTGGGTCCTCTGGTATTGCACCAAATGTGGTGGAAATGATTCACCTGATCACCTTCTCCTGCAGTACAAAATTCACTACAGAGATGAACTGCTCTGAGGAAGTTGATTAGCACCACATAGTGTTTTTTTTTTAAAATTATCTGCTTGTAAGTACATTATAAGTAATGTGTTGGGAACTGTGAGGATGGCACAGGATAGGGCAGGGTTCAGATCTGCTGCTCTTAGGGTTGCTATGGTTCATACGACTCGACAGCACCTAATAATAAGTACAAGAAGTAGACTGGCATAATCCGAACTGTGTTGTGTCAGGTAACATTCCCAAAAACCCTCAGGTTTACTGGTCTGCAGGGGGGGATTCGAGGCAGAGAGCTGGACATCTGAAAAGTTCTTCACAAAAGGTTCTTATTGTTGTTGTTATGTGCCATTGAGTCGCCTGCAATGCATAGTGACCCTATGTATAACAGCCCTAAACCCTGCTCTATCCTGTGCCAGTCCTACTGTCTGACACACCTACCCTCATTACCCCCGTCACTGAATCAATCCATCTCATCAAGGGTCTTCCTCTTCTGTGCTATTCCTTCATCCTCCCAAGCAAGATGTCCCTCTCCAAAGAATGATCCGGTCCCTTCTTGCAATATGTCCAATGTATGTCAGACAAAGCTTCAGAATCCTTGCCTCAAAAGAACAGCCTGGTTAAACCCTCTCCAAGGCAAACCTATTCATTCTCTTAGCAGTCCACGTTACATTCAATACTCTTCTCCAACACCACAGCTCAAAGGCATCAATTCTCCTTTTATCATCCCTAATCATTGTCCAGCTCTCTGATGCATTGCAAGTGAATGCAAAGACCATGGCCTGTATGAAGCACACCTTAGTCTCCAGACTGACATCATTCTCTTCAGTACCTTGGAGAGGTCTCTGATAGCAGACTTTCCCAACACTATCTTTATTTTCCTGGCTGCTGGTGCCAAGAGTATTGATTGTGGAGCCAAGCAAACGAAAGCTGTGAACAATCTCAAACTCTTTATCATCCTGCACTCCTTGATTTTCTGCTTCACAGAAGAGTAAACAAAATACTGAAGTCTTGCAAAGGAATGAAGGGCAGTTTGTGTCATGTGCAAAAATCCACTAATATTGTTAGGATAAAACAAATGGAACATTTACAACAGAGACTGAGATTGCTCACAGCTTTAGTCTGCTTGGATCCACAATCAACGCGCTTTATCAACACAAACAACTGCTCTTTAGTACTTTGGAGAGGTCCCTAACAGCAGACTTTCTAGTCGCAATACAACTTTTAATTTCTTGGCTGCTGTTGCCAAGAGTGTTGACTGTGGAGACAAGCAAACTAAAGCTTTGAACAATCTCAATCTCTTTACCATCCATCCTGACGCTACCAATTGGTCCAGTGGTGAGAATCTTCTTGACACTGAGCCTCAATCCATACTGAAGGCTATAAACCAAAATAAAAACCCACTGTCAATTCCAACTCAGAGCAATCCTCTATGAGCCTGCCAAAGCTATATACATCTTTATGGTGGATTCAAACCAATGGTCTGTTGGTTAGTATCCCAGTATGTAACATAAGCTCCTTAAAACCAAGTAATGCATCCATTGTTGCTCTTAGGTGCTGTCGAGTCATAGACAACTCACAGTGATCCTATAAAGGAAAGACTTGAGCACTGTTCAGAGTTTCCAGAGGCAAGCCATTTCGGAAGTGGATGCCACATGGGTGCATAAGCTGTACAAAGATGCAGTCAAACTTTTCTTTTTGAACAGAATTTCCTGCAATAAAAAGGTTCCCTAACTAGGTTAGTATGGCATGGAGTGGTGAGGGAATGAAGAAGTTTTAAAACATGCCCTACTGGGAGGAGAGTAAAAGATCCAGTGGGACCTGAAGTGGGTATAGATCAATGATGATTAATTTTATAAAATACAGTGTATGGGAATGATCATATGAAGCATAAAGTGAATGGAGGAAAGTGTGAAATACAATGTACATCAACGAAATACATGTATATGAATTTTGTATGAAATCAATATGAAATTTTTAAAAAGTATTTGCTATGAATAAATCACTGAATATATTTAAAAAAAAACCCCACACAACAAAACTCTCATAAAACAACAAAAACACCCTTTACTTAGGAACCATAAATCCACTAGAAATGCCTTCTCAAGGCCAGGTCCTAGAGGGTGTGTGCACAAAGACCTCTCTGCAAGTGTCAGGTATAACTGTTTCAAAAGAGAGTAACAATTTTAATGCTGGGCATTATTCTATTAAGTGACAATAATTTTTTTTTAAAAAATAAATCTCCTTAAGGCCTACATACCACTACTCTATGCCTGTGGGAGAATTCTGCATCCCTGACGCTCCTCTTGACTTATTTGGGAGAAATCGCATCCAAAGCACAGGACAAAAAGTTTGCTGTTCTGGAATTTGCCGCAGCCAACAGAGCCTGACATAGGTGCTACTGTAGCTGTCATTCAGAAGCCTGATGTGGTGGTATGTGGCTTCATCACTGCAACAGGAGTCAGTCTGCCCTTCACACTCCTCAGTGCTCTTCCTCCGTGCATCAGCTGTCTACCCTCTGGCTCTGTCCTGGCCTTTCTTGTCCTCCAAAGTCCAGATCCCATTCAACACCTTAGCTGCAGACTACTCCTGGAAACAGACCTCAGCCCACCCAGAGGTGTCTTCCAGACCAGGTGATGAGGTCAAGTTTCTGATTCAGCGGGTTTAGTGGAAAGGGAAGACCCATTTCGTTGATGCTCATGCTGCCAGTCAAGGGTCCCCCTTTGAGCATTATTGTCCTAAGGTTTCCTTGGTGACCCAGGGCCAGGGCCCAGGCTTCTTCCCTGCATCCTCCCTCCCCCTCAGCTCTGCATGGGGCTAAGGTGCTCCGATGCTCAGAACAGTTCCTTCACTAGTAAATCAGAGGCCCTGGTGATAAATCTCTCACCTGGTGGTAAAAAGTCAAAAGCAGAGACAACCAGGAGCCCCTAACTAGTTGTTAGTCCAGCTAATGTGCTAGGCTCCTAACCAAAAGGCAGGAGGTTTAACTGTGTCAAAAGGTCCCTTGGAAGAAAGGCCTACTTTCTAGATATCTGCATGTGGCGAAGGCTGTGGTGCACAGTGTGGTCCTGCTGTGGCACTCATCAGGTAGGCACAACAGAGGGGTAAATGACAATGCATTGATGCCCAGTGCACTCACAGGGGGCAGACATACTCCCTTCACTGACATGTCCTACAGCCTCCAACCTTATCTAAGAACCCACATTCTGTAGACATAAAGCAGGGAATGGGTTCTGGACAACAGCCCTGACTCTCCCAAGGGGAGCGCCTACAAGGACAGGAAAAGGCCAAATGGTCCCATCTAACTTGGCAAACAGTTTGTGGGAAAAGCGTCCGGCACAGTGTTACTCACCTTGGTCATGCCTCCAGTCTGAGCTGTAGTGAGTCCTGCGTGGCTGGCCATTTGGGGTGATACCTGTGTGAGGGTCTCAGCGAGCACACTGCCTGAGGCTCCCTGCATGGCTGGGGTGGGATATGGCATGCCAGCACCCCTTCCTCTGCCTGCAGCCCCCAGGGATCCATTCATGACCTGTGCCTGCCCTTGCTGGGCCTGGTTCATGAGGCTGTGGCCTGAGTTACTGTTGAGGAGGCCTTGGTGGGGCTGGTTGAAGTTCGCATTCATGCAGAGGCCAGGTCCCGTCTGTGACGTGGCAGGGCTGCTGGTCACCAGCCCCACTTGTTTTTGTGCTTGTGGGTTCAGTGCTTGTGAAGCAGGCGGGGTGGGTCCAGAGGTGCTGGCCACCTGCTTGGGCAGGCTCGTAGTGGAAGAGTCTCCCGGATTCAGAGGGCTCTTGCCCATGGCACCCAGACTGGCTATGCCCGCATTGTTGGGCTGCCCCTGGGCCTGGCTCCCGAGGCCTTGCTGCACAGGGCTGCTGGCACTCACATTTCCTAATCCTGGGTTGATGCTGGAGCTGCTGCCTCCTCGCAGAAGCTTCGACAGTTGTTTGTGTTTGGAAGCAGCATCTGGAACAATGTTCCCACTGTTTAAAAGGCCTAATTCTCCTCCATTGGGGATCAGTTCATCAGGAAGATCATTTTCCAAGTCAAACAAGGATCCAAAATCTAGAAATGAAACAGAAAGGGAAATGAGAAGATAGGAAGCAAGCTTTAACACTTGGCCGGCTGCCACATGTTAGCAGGATCTTAAGCTGCTGGTCTTTTCCTTGAAAACGGTCCCCATGCACAACAAATAAAAACCCTGCTTGATCCTGTACACCATTCTGACCATCACAGCTGTGCTTAAGCCCACTTCTGCAGCCACAGTGTCAATTCACCCTGTAGAGGGATTTCTTCAAATGATTTCAACAGTCCATGGGAAAATAAAACATAAGAGGAACAGTTTTCCAACTCTCAGATACAAAGGGTCTAGTATTACTAGACACCATTGTGTATTCTGAAACTACAACTAAACAATAAGGACAGATGCAAACACCCCAGTCAGAGGAAAACAAGGTCTAGGCCCCAGATTCACCAGGTTAGAAAGTTAATTAAAATGCTTTTAAGAACATCTGTGTATAAATAAAACAGTACTGAGTGTCAAGTTCGATGAGCTACAGGTTAGAGAAAAAAAAAATCTATACTAACTTTATGAACTTTGCATGTAAACCAGTATAAAATTAAC